CTAAAAACATAACTAAATTTCTTAGAAAGTTCAACTTAGTTTATATAAATCAGTTAATTTTAAAGTTAGGCAACAAAATAATTTTATAATAACAACTCAAATTATTACAAAAAGAATTAAGCAAAAACAGAAAAGCCAAATAGTTCATAAAAATAAAAAAATATATTAGAAGACAAAGGAAAAAGATTATTAAAAACAGGTTAGAGAATAAACAAGCCAAACAGTCTTGCTTTCAAAATGCTACCAAAACTACTTTCTTATAACAAAATAAAAAAAGATTAAGTTTTAATCAAAATAGTAAAAAAAGAAAATACACAATTAGTAATTGAAAAGATTTTAACAAAAGGTCTCAAAAGATTGTTAACAGAACACTAACATGAAGTAAAGCAAATAGAAATAGCAAAAGTAACTTTATTCAAATATAAAGACTGCAAGTTAAACCAAAATTAAATTAGTTTAGGCTGTAAAAGATGGATTAATAAAGTTAAAGTACAAGAAGAGATTTTAGACTATGTTAGAAAACATAATCAACAAACTCTCAAGTTAGATCAAGAAATAAACTCTTTATAAAAAAAAAAAAAAAAAAAATACAATAAAATAAAAATAAAGCTACTAAAGTTATATGCTATGATTTGAACATCAAAATTATCAAAAAACAATCTATCAGCTAGCTAATGAAAGATGAACTTATAAAACTTAATCAAAAAAAACAAAGAAAGATCTAAAGAAATATTAATCTTTTATATAAATAGTTTACTAAAAAGAGTATTAGGAAAAAAAGATTCAATAGTAAACCAAATAGAATTAGACTGAATGCAACTAGATGAAAAAAAAAGTACTAAGTAAGAACTGTTTTGGTACATAAAATTGGTTATTATCAACAAAATTAGAGCTCTTAGCTATTTGGTCTGTTATACTTATAATACCAAAACAGAGAAAATAAAGATTTGTACAAATAGCATAACAGCAATTGCAAGTCTTAAAAATAAAAAAATTTAATTTATTGGATAATGACTAAAAAGAAAAAATTACAATTACAATAATTAATAATAAAAAATGCCATCTGCATTCTTAAGCAGTTAGTTTAAAAAAAAAAAATTACAATTTATTAGAGAACATTAAAAAAATTATAGAGTTAAAAAATTTAGAAATAAATTTATAATAATAAATAAAACAATAGAACAAATAGTTGGACAAAAAAAAGAGCCAAAATAGATAATTTAGATAGAATAGTAGAAAAAAAAGACTTCTTAAAGGACTAGCATTTTAATTTATTAAAAGAAAGAAATTATAGAAAATCTGACAAAAAAGTTTATTAAAAAAATTTTAGATCTACAAACAGAAACTAAATAGGGTTTTTCATTAGAAATTAAAAAGATAAAACTAAATAATAAGAAAAAAATATATAATTAAATATACTTATAAAAAAGATTAAAGACCAAAGCAGAAGCAGATGTACAAGTTAAAAAAAAAATACACAAATAAGAACTTTAATTAAATGTTTTTATAATAGGTTGTTATAAGAAGTGTAGTGACTTAGTGAAATAAATAAGTTATTATTCCAAGTAATAGATAGTAAGTTTAAAACCTATTAATAGGAAAAATTTGAATAATCATTTATGTAATATAGATGGTATTACAGTGATAGCATTCTGTTAATCAGTTGGGATAAGATATCTGTAACATGGTTACAATATTATAACTGGTAGGTTATAGAGCATCTGCACAATTTTGAAGTTATATAAAGAAATGCAAACTAGCATTAGATAATGCAAACTTAAAATAAGTTTTTATAGTTATGTAAATTCATAAACTAAGAAGCTGAAGCCCACTTGAAAAGACCCAAATAAAGAGATAATACAGATTTTTGACAGTATCACTGTAAAGGCTAAACCTAGAAAACAAATACTAATGTAGAAGAAATTAGGCAGGCAAGAACCTCAAGTAAGGGGTACTATTAACCAGACTATCAGAAGTCTTGAACTGGAGGAAAAGAACTTTGAGAGATGAACTCTGAAATACCAAGAATAGGTAATAGTTCTTCTAGACTATCTGAATTGGGAGTCTAAGATCAAAAGCATAAGTATACTATAAGTACTAAGGATATGCTATGAAATCGGTACTAGGGTCTAAGTAAACTCTGCAAAGGTAAGCTCTGTTAACAAGAGACTAAATGTGAATAGTTAGTTAGCAAAAAGGCTCTTTAGAGCCTTATTTTAGATAATGTATTTTAAAATATATAATGGTTTGACAAACATACAAACAGGATAGTCAAGATTAGATTAGACAGTACTTTGGTATACAGGAACTTGTATATTATTTGTCAGTATAAATATAAAGATTAAAGTATTTAAATAGGTAATTTTCTAGTAAATTGCAGATATAACAGCTAGTGTAAAACCTGCTATATAGATGAATTATTTAAAATAGACAATTAAAAGTTGTATATATGGCTAGTTGTAGACTCACTTTGTACAAATTATATAATTATAATTAAAATACAATAAAGGCAATAACTGTTGATAATTACAGTTTTAGCAAAAGCAAAAAAAAAATTAATAAGTTGTTATTACTAAAACCTCTATATAATAAAGACCAGATTTTTACAAAAGTTTTTTTTGTATATACTGTAATGAAGAAGAGAAAAAAAATCTGAATATTTGGTATTATGCAAGTATTATAAGAACAACTAAAAAATAAAAGTTTTATTGATTAATTTTGCATAAACTAAATTTTTAAGTGAAACACATGTAATTACAAGCAAAAGGCAACTTAAAGAAATCTTTTAGTGAGTAAACAAGCAAAAAAAAAAAGAAACAAGAATAGAAATAGTCAAATATTTAGTTTAAGAAAAGATAATTGAACAAATACAAAATATACTAAAGCCATTTAAGGAAACAAAAGAATTTTTAGACATAATAACCAATATAGTATAGAATAAGTTTTATGCAAATATATAAAAAAAAAAAATAAAGTTATTGTTGAATAGAAAAAGCTGATGAACATTAACCAATTAACAAAATGAAGAAAATTAAAAAGAAATATGAAATTCAACTAAACAAAAAACTCTCTCTAATGATTACTCAGACACAAAACAACCAGAAGAAAAAAAAAGATTTTTGCAAAATCAGTAATAAGAAACATCTTAAGTGGCACTAGATAAAAAGAAGCAGCAACATAGAAAGCAATAAGAAGTATAGAAGAAAAGTGTGCTACAAAAATAATAGTATAGCACAAAGAAAAGAAGGAAAATTGAAAAATTTTCTTAGAAAACAGCAATAGTAAGAAATTGCCACTAGACTCTATATGTAAATCTGTTTACATTATACAAAAACACAAAATAGCAAAACAAAACAGACATATGCAGACTACTAAACTTAAATAGATAGACAGATTACACAACAAGTAAACAAAGTTTGTATAAGAAAAATAGAAAATTTACAGAACCAATCAGAAATATATAGACATAAGTACAACATGTTTACTAATTTCTCCTCCAAGTTTCTTATTGGTCACAGATCAATAATATTTCCGATTAGATGAAATTGATCCCTAACAACATGATATCATTAACCAATAATATTCCCGCATCATGGTTAAATTACAATACTATGCAAGTAAAATATTTTTACACAAATAACTTAAGAAAAAAAACCAATTTGCATGTTTAATAATTTATTTCGTGCAGTTTTCTACTTATTTTTTACATGCATATGCACAAATCTTATTTTTTCTGTATTATTACACCCAGGATTTCATGAGATGCTTTTTAAATTAGTTTATACAAAAGTCCTTTAAATTGAAATGTAAACTGCACAAATCTTTTACTAAATTTTTGCATACATATATCTTGCGCATTTAAATTTAAACCACATCAAACAATTACAAGTAATAATACTTTTGATTTGCAAATAAATTTAATTTCTTTATTAGATGAAAGTAAGTGGGTGTTTAGAAGTTATTTCATTTTTGATTCTAAATTCTAATAGTTGCCTCAATGTATTTAATGCGTTCACAGTAAAGAGATGCATTGAATATATACATGTGTGCCTAAATTGCTCATCTTAAAAAAGTAATTACAGCATTTAGGCAGCCAAAATTAATTTTTATCTTTTCAGAAATTATTGCCGAAATATTTTGAAATCTTTTCATCAAAATATATTATATAGTATAGTTATTTCAGAGGGCTTTATATAAAAAATTTAGCAATATCAAAATATACTTTTTTTTAAAAATAATTTAGGTACACATGTATAATCAAATATATGCTAAGCTATGTAGCTTTATTTGATTCACGAGGTGCATTATTGCATATGCATTTATTGTTATGTGTAGGAATTTATTTTGGTGCTGCATATGCACATTAAAGTATTTAATTAAAGACAATTTAATTGTTACTGCATTTATATTCAAATTAAAAATATCTTTATTAAAGTAAGCCTTACCAATTGTATTACACAATTACCTGTGACTTATTACACAAATCCTGCGAATTTTGCAAATTTTGTAGATTAGACAAATAATGAGAATAGAGCAAAGCTATTTTAATGGAAAAAAAGAGCCAAAAAATAATATTTTGCCTCTATACAAGATAAACTATAATACCTTTATTCAAGTAATTAAATAGAATAGGCGACATCATAATAGTATATTTAAGAGCGGTTTTTCATCCAAGTTGTAAATTGTCTTGCATTTATCTATTCTTATAAAATAAAGTTATAATAAAATTATCCATTAGTATCAATATCTTCTAAGTGATAAATAAACAAAATACAATACTTTCCTTTATTTAAATTGCCTTTATAATTTATTCACTTTTAAGTAATTCGTTAGTACAAAGTTGCTATTGTGAAAATCTTGCTAAATCTTGTATACTTCTAGTTCTATTGCATAAACCTTGAACAGTTCGTTCTTACTATCGTTTTTAGAAAACTAATTTAACATCTGTGAAGCTTCAAATCTTGTCATTTTAAAAGTTGCTTAATAAATGTTCTTCTAACATGTTATTGCCACTAGATATTAATGCAATTTTTGATATTGAAGAAGAAGATATGATTATTAGTGATGGCAGCGACTATGAGCTTAACAATGTGCTTGATAGTATTCTAGACATAACAGATGGCATTGGTCAGACGTGAGAGATAAGAGATGATAATAATACAACAAATAATAAGTCAGAAACTGAAAAATTTAAAACATATGATCTTCTAGTTAGTGAATACCTAGAATAGATCAAAAACCTTAAAAAAGAAGAGCTTAGTTATTATAGAAATGATCATCGGGTACATGAAGGTGGTTCAAGAAAAAAAAACCAATGGTCAGAGAAATGGTATTGCCATCAGTATGGGACATATGAGAGCACTGCTGAAAAGGATGTCACAAAAAAACCACAGCTTGTACAAAAAGAATCAAAAAAATGTGGATGTAAAAGCTACATCCATGTTGCGCTTTCCGTCAACTCAACAACAGTAGTTTTACGTTACTATTATAAGCACATAAATCACTATCCTGGCCGGCTGTCAGATTTGTGTACTTTACCTTTATCAGAAAACATTAGACAGTTTATTAGGCAATGTGCCCTTGAAGAACTTGATGCTTTTAGCATTCAACAACTTCTACGTTTTCGAGCAGTTGAGCTTCAAGACCAAGCCAGTCTTTAGAGGTAGTACAATCGAATGAGCCTTTACATGATATTCAAAAACTACGTGATGGATTAGTAACTAAGAAAGATATTTATGCAATTGTATATGATACAATGAAAACATGTACTTATTTTGATGATGATAAAATAAAATCCTTAGATAAATAGATGGTGAAGATAATTAGTATGGGCAGGTGTTGCTTATTTGAATGTGGCAATGAGAAACAGGTGTCAGATGTAGCTGACACGGGATTTCTGTTTGCTTTTCAAACAAAAAAAAACAAAAAGAAATCATGCAATGTGCTAGAGTAATATGCTTGGATGGTACTCATGGAATGAATAAATATGGTTATCATCTTTTTTCATTTGTTATAAAACACCCTACAGCCGAAAGTGGTTTTCCAATTGCATTCCTTATTAGTAAATATAAAAAAACATTAACATTAAAAAAGTGTCTTGAATTTTTAAAATTTAATCATGAAAATTGGAATCTGGATATTTTTATAGTTGACGACGCAGAAGAAGAAATAAAGGCCGTTGAAGAGAGTTTTCCCAATAGTACCATGTTGCTCTGCCATTTTCATGTCTTAAGATCATGGCATAGAAAATTAAATTATCATTCTAGTAGAAATGTCAATAAATATAAAGTGACTATTTGAAATGATCTTTGGCAATTAATGAAAACAGAGGGGTGGAATGATACAGAAGCAAAAAATCAAGTTACCCAAGCCATTGAAAAATGGTGAAAGTTTAATATAGAGTCTGCAAATGCCTTTGCTAACTATTTTGAGCACTGGTAGAAACCCAAGTATAATAAGTGGATGATATGTCTAAGAGGAATTTCTAGAGATATGATTGATACAAACAATTTAATCAAAGCATTTCATCGCAAACTAAAATATACATATATAAGGGGATGACCAGGGAGACAGCTTGATGCTAAAGTATATCTTCTTATAAATATCGTGCTTTGTAACTTGGAATTTTCATCTTTTTTAGATGAATTAAAAGTTGGTAGAATGAATCCTCAGAGACATCAACAGCGAATTAGAGAAATTAAAGGGACTACAAGTATCAATCAGAATAATATTTATAGTGTCAGACCTAATACTTGGATTATACATTCTATGACAAATGATGACATAGAATATTCAGTCTGAAGAAAAGATTCTACAATTAATAGCAAAGATAGTTTAGACATATCTTCTTACATTTGCAATTGTCATAACTTCAAATACGACAATTGCCATATAAACATATTTTTGCTATACTTAACAAAATTTATATTACCACTGATAGCACAGAAGAAACTAGCCATGATTATAATTATCTTGAGATGCAATTCATGGATCCTAATATTGAGGAGCCTATTAATTCTCTCACTTCTATTGGTCCTCTAGGTGATGAAAATTTTGAATTCATGAAATTAAAAGAGAAACTAATGTTAATTGCCAAAGAATGTAAAGACAAAGAGAGTCAAGATATTCAAAGCTTACAATTAACACTCAGACAAGCTATTCAGGTAGAAAAAACAAGAATTGTAAGGGTTAATTCAACAGCTGATCATAACATATTAAAACCATCTAAATTAGCATCAAATTCAGTGATTAAAAAACAAAATAGATATTAAATATGTTAATTTATATAATAAATTAATAATAAATAATAAATATAACTTACTAACTTCAAACTATTATCCATAAAGAATTTAATTTTAAGTAATAAATTATCTATTACTATTAGCTATTGCTTACAGTATCACCCAAAATAATATGTCTCATGATTAAGACTCAGGCATTATTCATCATCCTTACTGGCTTGTTACTTGAATAAGACCCGAGTACAACCATATTGATTTACTGCTTTTAATATTATATGTGCCCCAATATAGTACCCAGTTCTTTACACAGTGCCCACGAGTACTATTCAATTTTAAAAATAGAGTTCTTGAATAATACCCTGAGTACTGTAGACAGTGGCCAACAGTACTTATTGTTAAAGCACTTCATATATAAGTACTTATTCAAACAAACAAATCAATAAATATATAAAGTTCTTTTGTAAAACTGATTTGCCAACGCAGTAAATAACAATGACTTCGAGACCACCAGCCTCAGTGCATCTGGCTGGAAAATGCATATTTAATTAAAATATATTATATATACTTCAGAATTAAAAATGCCACATAATAAAATAATACCAAAAAAAAAATAAATACAATTAACAAGAAATTTACTTTAACCTTCAAATAGAAGGCCGCAATTAATTATTAATTGCAGTGAAATCTATTTTAGGAACTATAAACTTATTCTTAAATTGTTAGATCCATTTTATATTTACAATCCTCTTTCCAACCGCAGATGTATGCCTAAATAATTTTTAAAAAAAAACTAACGTCAGGATCTTTTATTATTTGATATAGAAAGTTCGGTAGTAATTTCTTTGAATATAAAAACGAATTTAAATGAACAAATTATCACAATAATTACTTAGAAGAGCAATTTAGATATGTGCATATTATATTTCTAACGATGCATACAATAGTGTGTTAATGAGATAAGCAAATCATTGAGCACAATTGAATATTTCAAAAAGAAAATAAATATTTCACTTTATTTCTCTCTAGCTTTCAAGAACAATCTTATTTTTTACACGTTCATATATATTAAATATTAACAAATCATAAAAAAATTATCATGGCAGACCTGTATAAAAAAATTATAGATGAGCTATTAGACTATAATAATAGCAGTCCAATTAGTGATCCCATTACCACCCCTTATGATCCATTACAAGATTATCAAACTCAAACCGCTATTACTCATCAGTTCCTTCGCTAATTCAAAAGAATGGAAAATAGAAAAGCACAATTATGGTATGCCTATTATTTGTGAGAGATCTTAGAAAATATGCCACCAGAACAAAGAATAATCTGTGTCAAACAACTTACCTCATATTATGCCACAGTGGCTGTCTATGCTTATTATATTTTTCGTACATAGGGAACTTTTCAAATCAACTAAACCATAGAATTGACATTGCCGATGATTTATAAATTAAAAGTAAAGAATTATTAGAGGATCGTAAATTTGTAAATTAAAGATTTTGTAATACTAGTTTATTATGATACTATCGTGTCGCCTTAGTTGAAAAAAAATTAACAGTTCATATATTAAAAGTTTAATGAGTATAATGTTCCTTAAAATGCAATAAACATAAATATAAAAAATATACTTCTCTTTTGCAATAATCATTACTAATTCTTTCACTTTAACCTTAATTAGTAAGATTATGAAGGTATTAAGCTGCAAGTTCTGCACAATTATAATAAATATAGTTAGCAAGATCTCTAATTGGTTCGAATGGTAATTCTTTTTCGAGTTAGAAAAGGGTAAATTATAGAGTAAAAACTTATTATTATATGCTCAACTATTTGAATCAATTTATGATCAAAGTCGTTTACTAGACATTTCTTCAGTCATTGTTAAGTGTATTTAATCCAAATTCGGTTGCATAATAGTATTCATGAATGTTAAATTATACACTAGTGCTTGTAAGCAGCACTAAAATCGAGAATAAAAAAAACTTAAATTTTTTTTTCTTATTTGTGATGTGATAATATTATTGGTCGATGATATCACGTTGTTAGGGATCATCAATTTCAACCAATTGGAAATATTATTGATCTGTGACCAATGAGAAACTTGGGGGAGAAATTAGTAAATGCAAGTACAACATAAGATTAGAAAAGTGTAGAGAAAGTCTATTAACAATTTTTATAAGAAAGGCATATTGGGCAATAAATAGAATACACAATAAAATATTCTTTAACTAGTCAAGTAAGACATATATAATGCCAAACAAAGAAGACAAAATTATTGTGATACTTACAAAGCAAAAACCAGAAGAAGTTGCATTATTAAGAGTGACAAGAAAATTGATCGAAAAAGCAAAAAAAACAGCCAAAAAAGAAGTTAAACTTCACAAAACAAGACAAAAACATGATAATAATTAAAATTGAAGAAAAAGACAAACAAGAAACAGAGAAATCAACACAACAAGAAGCAATGAAAGAAAAGAAAGAACAAGGAAATATATATGAAAAAAACCAAAAAATCAAAAGAAGAACAGAAAAAAAAGATACAAACAAGAAAAGACTATCAGATGAGAACCTTGAGACAACAAAAGAAGCAAAAACAAGGTAAGTACAAAAAGCACAAACAGAATAGAAGAAAAATTATTAGTACAGAGAACAGAAACTAGAAAAGAACAAACAAAAGAGACCAAACAAGAAGACTAGAAATAGATGGTAAAGAATCAAGACAAGGTTCAACAATAGAAGAAAAAAAAAGAGGAAAAAGAAGAAAACAAGAAGTTGAAAGAGAAATAGATATAATAGAAATCCTTTTAGAAAAAAGTATGTAGGCACTAAGCAAAAAAAACTGCAACAAAGACAACAGTCTACTAGCCAACACCCCCATATACAACATACTTGGAGGTTCAAAAGAAGAGTGTATAAAGTTTAACAGCTGGTTATTAAAAGATAATGAACATATTAAGAACATTAGAGAAGTTTTTAAGCAAGAAAATTTGTGAATTGAAGTAAACTTCGACTGTAAATTTGGCATAAATGAAGTGATACAAAGAATTAGGAAAAAAGAAAACAACTGGTACAGAATGATACCAAAGAAAGATATTGAAGAAAGAAGAAAGAAGCAAAAGAAACTTGAAGAAGATTACTAAGATAAAAAAGTCAATATACCAAACAACAAAAAGGAAGGATATAGAAAAGAAAAAAACAAAGATGAACTAAAAGAAGGTCAAGGAAACA